ACGGATAAAAAAAAAACGCTTGTGTCAGCGGCGCTTAGTCTGTCTGTTCCTGTCAGTCATCAGTCCGCCAGCAAAGAGGGAGACCGTCAGAGACGGACTGATGGAACTGTACTGTACTGACGGAATGCCCATCTCTAGTTTTTAAGCCTTTTAGTGCTTTACATCGTAAATCCTTGTGGCGGAAGCTGCATGCTAAACTGGCAAGCTAGCTGGCGAAACTCTTCATTTGTTGCACTAAGAGGTGGCAGTAAACTAATGACATACATCACACATTAGTTGCCAGGACGAATTCTTCTCCTAATATTTATTTTTCTTCAATTTTTCTCTTTAAGGCCATTTGTCAAGATGTCAAGAATGCAGAGTCAGATCTTACGAACTTACCAGGTACAGTCTTTCCTAAAAATGGACTCAAGAACTGACTTCCTGAGAATGCTCGTGTTTTTGTACATTGGTAAATGGCTGTGGACTTGTCAAATCCCACCAAACTTGGATATATTTCTATGATAAATATATATAGGCCGACAAGTTGCACCTGAGTGTAAGTTGCAGGACCAGCAAAAAAACAAAAAAGCGATGAAAAAAAATAAGGTATCGACAAAGTTTCTATCCATCTATGTTTTTGTCTTCTCACGCTTGCTTTTGGGACATTGGAGTGATTGATGGCAACGTAACCAAAAGGAGACGCCAACTTTTGAGAATTTTACGAGTGATCATGGGACTCAAATGGCGATGGTTTCTGCCTTTGAGATGTGAAGTTTACATGTGGCGCATCCTGCATCGTGTCAAGTCCCTGCCGTGTGTCTGCGCCGCGCCACATGACGATAAAGGCGAGTGGAAATTCAAAGTGAAACGGGGCCTCAGGCAGCCGAGGGGCCTGCGGCGTATCTGCTCCCAGACGTCTGCGTGGAAAGCTCCTTTCCACTTGATCTTCTCGGGCCCGAACCTGCGCAAGATCCGCACCGTGTCACATGGCGTGGGCCTGAAACAGGAATGCTGTGTAATTTAGTGCGTGAGCCGCACTGCCCCTGTCTAATCTCCACTTTTTTGCTCTTCTGCGTGGAAAGCTGCCCTATGCGCGACGCTCTTCCCTGGCGCTCGCAGTGGTAACCCAATTATTGCTTACAACCAGCAATTTAGTGGTTTAAAAAATAAATCCTCCTCCTCCAGTTCATAAAAAGTTCACTGTTTGGGGTTTATTAGTGCCAGAGTATGGCTATGACTAAAATTCTGTTTTGACAAGTTTAAAGTCCAGCACAGGCCTCAGGAGGCTGATTGATATGTCAGATAAAGTCTGCAAAGACAACAGCTGCGCTCAAAAGGCACACATACAATTTGACACAGTCTTTCATACACTTTTCCCCATCACACAGAGATGGAAAAAAAAAAAAGCTTGATTGTGGAATTAACATCTTTTCATTCCCTGGCCTCAATACTCATTTCCAGTCCTTCATACTCCCAAATTAGCACACAAACACGTGATAAGCCTTGATTTTGCAAAGGAACATTTTCTTATATGTATATACACACACACACACACACACACACACACACACACACACACACACACACACACACACACACACAAAATCGTAAACCCAATTCCAGTGAAACTGGGACGTTGAGGAATGCTCATCAAACAGCTCTTTGGAACATCTCACAGGCGAACAGGCTTACTGGGAACAGGTGAGTACCATGGTTGGGTGTAAAAAGAGCTTCCCTGAATTGCTCAGTCATTCACAAACAATGAAGGAGAGAGGTTCGCTCCTTCGTGAACACCTTCGTAAGAAAATAGTCGAACAGTTTAAAGACAATGTTGCTCACCATTGCAAGGAATTTAGGGATTTCATTATCACTGGTCATATCATCAAAAGGTTCTGAGAATCTGGAGAAACCACAGGAAGTAAGCGGCAGGGCCGAAAACCAACATTGAATGCCCGTGACTGTTGATCACTTGGGCGGCACTGCATCAAAAACCGACATCAATGCAGGAAAGGATATCACCACATCGGCTCAGGAACGCTTCAGAAAAGCAATGTTAGGAAAATTGGTTCAGCGCGACATCCGTGGGTGCAATTTAAAATTCTACCAGGTAAAGCAAAAGTGATTTATCAACCACACGATACACATAAATGTGTGTGCTTGTGTTTGTGTGTGTGTAATGTATGTCTGAGTGAGTCTGTATTTATGTGTGTTTTCATTACAATCAAACTAATGATAAATAGAACAATTTTGAAAATGCGAATTATTTATTTTCTTCACATAAAAAAAAACAATTTTACTTTTTTTTTTTTTTGCCCTGATCTGTGAATGACCTGACCTGTCTGTCCATTTTAAAAATCACAATGCGACCCATAAGCAACAAATGTTCGCCCGAGCCCCGTGCTCTCCTCACCGCTACGCTGCAAATAGAGAAGACAGTCAGGATCCACACAAGACAATCTATGTGACAGCTTTTGTAATGACACTGTACTCTGTGTGGAAACTATTTTGGACCTTGGATGAAAAAGTCACATCCTCCATGGAGCGTATGCGTTCTCCAGGCCACTCCATGTCTGTCTGCCAGGTTATCAGCAGTTCATCAGGGGAACATGGAAGCCCGAGACAATGCGCTCGTCCCCTTCTCGGCCCGGGCGACTCGGGGTGCTGCGGATCACTTCCGCGCACCAGCGGCCAGCACCTTGAACCGGGATCGGCCTCCCAGAGGAAACCACTGGGGGCCTTTGTGACATTATCGCATGCTGTTGCCATCAAAACAAAACAAAGGCACACTAACGAACGGGCCGTTCTGTGGTTGAAAAATGAGACGTTTAATCAGCTCTAGTCCTTCCCATCAACCCGAGTGCTTGACACTGAGCAGATTAAAATCTCAGGCACAGTCTATGTTTATGGAGGTCGTGACCTCTGCTAAGTGTAGTGTAAAAAGTAAGAGAAAGTGATGTTAGGGCATTAGGCTTCCATTTCATCACACGTGTTGAAATCATCAACCTTAATCCCAAGTGTAGGAAACATTTGAGAAAATACTAGCAAAAAATGTATTCAAAAGGAATTTGGGGTTGATATTGTGATTGACATTTATTTATTTAATGGTAGCTTTCAAGGACTTACTGAATTGGTCCTTTTTATACAACTGTTTTAAAACACCACGACAATCTTTCTAGAATGCAAACATGCATTGCCTACATATGACAAAACAAACAAAAATCTCGCTTGGGGGCGGGGGGGGGTCCATCTATCTATTCTTCAAATCGCTTATCCCCTGAAAATGTAAAGCAGACTATTCTGAATAATAACATTAAAAGCAAAATTCTCCTACAGTTGAGTGGATTAGGAAGTTCTTTAAAGATGATTTAGCTAATATCATCATCATCACGATTATTATTATTATTATTATGATCACTGTTGTTTTTTTTATTTTACCAAAAAACATGGGAGCAAACGTTGTCAATGTCCACTCCATCACTTCAACTTTTGTTTATTGATCTAGTATTTTTTCTAAAAAATCATCATATGCTTCTGCACATTAACTGAATTAGGTTTTAATTCAACCTCCCTTTCTCCCCAGTTCCATTGGCTCCTCCTGCTTTTACATCTTTTCGCCACAGAGTGACGCTGTGGAGCGTGAAGTGTTAAGCGTCTGTTTGTGGTCCGAGCGGACCTCAGTAAAACAAGTCGATCACAAGTGATATTAAAGTCGTGTCAACTCGTCATAATATACTTTATGTTAGACGACTGATCGCAAACAAAAGGGCAAAACGTCCTAAATTGTGTTTGTGGAAAATCTGATTGTTTGTCCACGTTTTTTTTTTCGAGAATTCATTGAGCTAAAAAATGATTGAGAACAATAGTTCAGCATCTGCGTATTCGCCATTTCTCAGCATTTTCTTTCAAAATAAAAATATATATTTTGCCTATTTTAAACTTTTGTTGTTGTTTTCCCAAGATTTTTTTCGGGGCGGGAGGGTGGTTAAACATTTTTTTCATTCTTTTTTTTCAGTGCATCTCTAATTGACGTCAGTTACCCTTGTCAACGAATGTGCAATTTAAAAAAAATCAGAGGTGCAGGTAAATTTTCTTGATGTTTTTTTGCGCTGATTCTTTACCAGGTTTGGATTGCAATAAAAATAATAATAATCAAATTTCTAATCCTCTTATCCTCACAAGAGTCGCGGGGGTGTTGGAATGTAACCCAGCTGTTTTTGAACAGTAGGCGGGGGTACACCTTCATCCTCAATCATCCAATCGCACACGAACAACCATTTGCGCTCACAATCACACCTAGGGACAATTTAGAGTGTTCCATTAACATGCAGTGCATGTTTCTGTAATGTGGGAGGAAACCGGAGTACCTGGAAAAACCCACGCAGGCATGGGGAGAACATGCAAACGCCACACAGGAAAGCCGGGGACGAAATCGAACCCTACACCTCTGCACTGTGAGGCGGAGTTGCTAACCGGTCGACCAACGTGCCGCCATAATAATAATAATAATAATAATTACTCTTGTAATTGGTCATGTTTATCATGATTTATGATTTGTAAAGGTTAGGTTCAGCAACAGGTGGATTTTTTTTTCTGAAACGTCACAGCTATAAATTACAACGCATCGTAAAATCGAAATTGCGCAAGCTTTTATGGGACAAACTTAAAAACAGTAATAAAAATTAATCTCAAAACCTGATGTGTTAGAAAAAAAAACGTAAAGACATAATTACGCCCAGGGACACATAAAGCCCTCTCTGATTAAAAATTGCTGTTGACCAGTGTTACAAGCGGACGTTCGCTATTTACGCGAATATCCGGGGTTCCACTGTGTTGAGATATTTTATTTTCCGAAAGCTGATCAACTGCATTTGAATGCTCTTCCATGTCTCACTGAGAAAGCAAAGGAGCGGCACACTCCCTGCAGCACGAGCTGCCTGCGCCTTTAAGACTATGTGCGTGGAGAAGTTCAAGTTGGGGTCAGCCGAAGTTCCTGCCCTCCGCTTTACCTTCTTGCTTTTTTTTTTTTTTTATTATAGACTGACATCACACTGGAGGCGAGCTCACAGAGGCTCCATTATCATCACCGCCGCCGTTCCGAGTGCGCGTTATTGCCGCTCCAAAATAGCAGAGGAAATTAGTAGAAGGGCGAAAAAAACGGGAGGAAACTGATGCTTTTTTGGTATGGATAGGAGGAGATGAGAAAAGAGAGGAGGGGCAGAAGAGAGAGAGAGAGAGAGAGAGAGAGAGAGAGAGAGAGAGAGAGAGAGAGAGAGAAAGTGGGTGGGAGGACCGACTCGACCTCGCTGAAGAGAGCCTTCGTATCAATTAATAATGATAAAAAAGAGCTGGTGAAAAGCACGCTGGCATGGCTGAATGGAGGCTGGCACTCGGGACGTCAGATATGACTGCAGCAGCCTGCTGACATGATCATTGAGGCAGACTCGGATGGGATGGCAGCAGACATCGGGCATGCAGGTAAGACAGGACACTTAACAATTCACCAGCCTTTCAAAGAAGCATTTTTGAAAACCGGCGTGCTTTCACACACCACAATTGTTCTTCTTTTTTTTTTTTTCCTCGTCGATTTTTCTACGATTTCCTCCCCACCTGTTTCAACCTGCTTCAATGCAGATAGGCGGAAGAATCCCCCCTCCCCACACTCTTTTCATGGTTTTGCGATCCTTTTGAGTGAAAATTGCAAAGAGGAAAAAAAAACATCGTCATCAAAGTCAAGCCACTCTTATGTAACGGTTAGCACGTTTCTGCCTTTAAAAGTATGTTTCAAATGAGCGTTGTTGATTTGTAGTCCTCAAAGATTGCGAGGAAAAAACAATGTCATAAAAGTGCACGAGCAAACACGGCTGTTAGCAACCACATTTTCAGACTTTTGCTTTTGAATGTGCATCAGTTGCGAGGCACATTTCTAACGATTTGGTTTTCAAAGGTATGTCTTAAAGGATTTACATCAAACAACACGATAACATAAAAGTTCCTGATCATGCTACTCATACAAAACTGTCTCCGCATTTGTCGTTTTTTGCTTTTCAGAGTATTTAAAAGGATCTTCCAAGTTCATGCTCGTACCACCAACTGTCACCAAATGTACATGTTTACTCTTTGAAGTATGATTAGACTAATCTTAAAAGCTTTCAGTCATAAACGTTCATTCAATTGTTTACCCCATTTTCATGTTTTGGTTTTAGAAAATATATCTAAAGTGATCTTTGTCAATTAGGAAACCTTGAATTTATGTAGAAAGCAGAAAAAATATTGAAGAACAAAACTTCTGCTCACCCGTGCAGTAAGTTGCAAGACAGTTTGTGTTTTTTTAAAGTAGATGACATCCCTAATTGAATGCAGGATGCGTAAAAATCATAAATTGGTCAAGCGTGTGGTCCTGTGTCACTCATACGCTGCATCACATCATTGTCCCAAAAAGTAGATGTTGACAGTTATTAAAAATGATCTTTTTCAAATAATGTATGTAAAGGAAAATAGATGGCTTTCAAGTTGTAGTTGAAGAAATCACATTTCCATGTGAAACTAATGCGAGTACTGGAAATGACCTTCCTTTATAGTTGGACTTGATGTTGCAAATCGTAAAAAAAGTGTGTGATCGTGTGTCGCTAATAGTTTAAATAAAATAAAAATTTCCCCCAAGTATTTTTGTATTAACGCACAAGGGCATTAAAGGTGATCCGACATCTCCTGAAATAGAGAAAAACATTTGTGTGTCACTCATAGTGCAGAAATGGACAGTATATGATGTGCAAATGATTTTTATCAGTAATATTAAAATGTGGAAGCCATAAAAAAAAATTGAAATGTCCTCACATGCCAATCCGAATGCAGAAATGACATCTTCCCATATTTCGTGTTTTTTTTTTTTTGGGGGGGGGGGCGAGAAAACAATTGACTTTCTAATCGATTAGTAACCCTTAAATGGACAAACCGGAAAAAAAGAAACGACAAAGTATGCTTACACTTTACAGTTGTGGTGAAATATGTCCAAATCGTTTTTCCATCTTCTCATGCTTATGTATATCAAAGTAGAACATGAATCCACAAATTGACAAAATCCATAAAAACAACCGTGTTCAACATTTGGCCTTTATTTATGTATTTTCCTGTTTTATAGCATACATATGCCACTTCATTTGAGCTTTTTTTTTCTGTTGCTTTTCTTGTTTCTGACTAATAGGCCAGTGTGTGTGTGTGTGTGTGTGTGTGTGTGTGTGTGTGTGTGTGTGTGTGTGTGTGTGTGTGTGTGTGTGTGTTTTCAGAATAGTTAGCTGGACTCTGATTTTCCTGTCATAGTTTCCCTCTTAATTTCTGGCTTGCCCGCTGACAGCCGGGGATTTTATTTGTCAGCGTCCCTCTACGCACTGTTGACACGTCTCATTAGTACACGAGTACAGTATGGAGTTGCCGTTACTCTTTTCGGGAGTACAAAAGACGTGTGGGCAATTCGGGATTCACGTGTAGCTTGTGTGAAGAGAAATTAGGCCCCATGCTGCTATGAAAACGTGTCTTAAAACGGCATTTTGCTCGGGGAGACAATCTGATGCTATTGTGACTATGTTACCTAACTGGGTTCCCATCACTATTTTGTCACCGTTTTCTAAGATGGTGTGAGGATATTTTTTTTCTGTCGATGCAATCAGACAGGAAGTTGACTGTGATGCGCTTTGCTGATATGACTGAAGCGTGACCTTTTCACCTTTTGGTACTCTTTGAAACAAGCAAGGAGGGGGGCGGAGGGAGGGGGCGGTAGAATTGGCAGCTCCTTGTGCAGACTGCTGTTATGTTACACATTAAAAGTACACTTTTCTTTTGTCAAATGAAGCACGGCGGTATCGTTGAAACACATCGCACTGTAAAAAAACACAACTTGTATTTGTCTGTGACTAAAAACAGTAATTTCAGTTGGAACAACTTTAAACTATAAATTATTGATATATATATGGCAACAGTGTAAGTTAGCGCAACAACTTGTTTGCTCCAAAACAATTTGCTGAGTTGTTTTTTAACTTCTAGCTTTAAGTTGGGGCACAATACAAGGGGAAATTAGTTCTGAAAACTCGTCTTTACTCGTTGAAAATGAGAGAGCCAGTTTTAACCACAGGAAACCTTAAAACATGGAGTTGAATTGCCCAATTTAGGTTTTGTTGACTTAAAGATTTGAGTTCACCTACTTTTTATTTTTTGAATACACTACATTGCACTTTAGGTGAAGCGAACACGTTCCAAAGGAACATTTACAGTGTTAAATGTGCCCCTTGTGTATTTCATTTGGTAATTTTGTATACTTTTAAACAAATTATTCATGTGATGGGCACATTCAGGATGCTTTAATATTTAGAAGATTAAAAAAAAATTTTTGCGCAGGCAGTAAGGGCTTCGGCCGCCGTGTGTCGTCACTTCACTGTAAGAGTTCACCAAAGGGGTAAGCTGGGCTCACTTGGGTTTGATGCGATCGCGGCTGAAAATTTATGTTTAAATATGATGGCCCTGTAATGGAAAGCAGAAGTGGAAACGATCAAAATGACAGCTTGGGAAAGGATGGAGCGTGATGTCAAATTAGTTCCTTTCACACATTTTTTTTTCACCCCAGCTGAAATGGATCCATGTCCTATTTTATGATATATAAAGTTTAGAAATGCACATTTGATTCATATTATACAATAAAATACTAAAACGCATTTCTAAATTGTAATTTCTCCTTTATTTCCTGACTTCTCTTAGTTTTTCATATTTATTGTCTCGCAACCACGTCATTACTTTTAATTGAAACTGATTTTTTTTTCCCCCCTTCACAAAAATATTTTCTTAGCCTTTTATGTTTATTGTGACTGCAAATTACTTTTTATTTGCGCTCCTCCCCCTCTTGTGATGCTAAACAATCAACATAATCAGAACCATGCTGCAAAACCAGTGCTTTGTGTAACTTTTTAGGAGCTAACTCTTCACTTTCTGTCCCACCGCAAGGAAAAATGTGACGTGATATTTATTTATCGACTTGCTCGTGCTCCCATCAGCCATAGAAAAAGCCCCACAAGGATCACTTTGTATTGTAAACTGTCCTCAGATGCCTCTGCTGGAACGAGATGTCATGTTTCATGCGTGATGTAGTTTACTTTAGGCCCGATGGTGGAGAGGAGTGGTGATCTTTGAGCGTGCGGGAATGTTTGCGTGTGTGCATTGGATCCCTGGGGACTGAAACAGCGTGAAGCATTGCACCATCTAACGTAAATTGACAGTAGATTCTGTGCGTTTTGGGTTTCTTCTATAGTTCAGTGGAAAAGACCACAATTGCTGTTGTGGTTACCGGTATATGTAGATAACGCCCAGTTTCCTGATGAGAACTTAACTAGAAAATGCAAACAGTGAAAGAACACAAATCGCAAACAACATTTTAAAGGGCAAGTCCAGTCACAAAATGTCTTAACAATAATGTTTTATGCCCCCTTACAAGTCTAAATAAGTATTCACATTAACCCTTACAAGTCTAAATAAGTATTCACATTAATCTTGTGTATGTGAGATATTTATTTAGCCACCCATTTTTATGAGTCTCAGGGGGCGGCCATTTTGCCTTTAATTGGCACTTGCTAGCAACTGAAAATGACATCACAGTGAGAAGGGCTCAGCCTACTAATGTCACATGATTAAAGAAACCCAGAAAACAGCTGCGAGCTGTGATTGGAGGTTACCTGAGCAGCTGTGATGTCATTTTCAGTCGCGAGCAAGTGGCAAAATGGCCGCCCCCTGAGATGTATAAAAGCGGGTGGATTCTGCGGCTTAATTCATATTCCACAAACGAAATATTAATCAGAATACCACGTTTAGATTAGTGGGGCCGCGTAGGACATATTATTTGAAAGAAAATGTTTGACTTGACTTCCCCTAGAAGTAGGGTCTGACCAATTAATCAGACGGTTTTAGCTCTTTCAAATTAGTTAAAAATCAGCCTATTTTTGGTCAATTTAATAATTTTTATTTATTTTTGTTTTACACCTTACAACAGCGGTCCCCAAACTTTTTCCTGTGAGGGCCGCATAAGCTTTCGCTTCTGTGATGGAGGGGCCGGGGTCAGTCTGGAACAGAAAAAGGGTGACCGCAAGAGTACGGAAATGTAAAAATGGATTGTTTTCCAGAAACCCACACAAAATGCA